ATGTTGCAAATCACTATTCTATTAATACTTGTTAAACGAACTAATCTGATCGACGCGCGAAGATAGGCTGCGACTTGTAACGAGGTATTCGGGACTATCGACGCGTCGTTTTGTACATAGTTCTTAAACGAACTGTCATTAAGCAGCGATCGCTTTCTTTACGCAGTTTCCGCTTGCAACGGAGGAACGACGATACGTAGAATATTAGCGTCCTAGAAGCCAGCGGTTCTTCCCTGCCTCCGGAAATCCGAGACGCCGAATACGTGTCCGTGTTGGTGCGACACAGCCGTGATCGCGCTTCCGATTCCGGTAAACGCAGTAACGTTGTGGCCGATACTCGACAAGTAATTCAACACATTCGAAGGAAATCCTGCTTCGTTTTGAACGACCATAGGCAGCAGCTGCAAATTCAAAGAACTGTCTTTAGCGGTAATATCTCGTTGACATCGATACATGCAGCTATTATCTTCAGGACCCTGAAGCGAGGGACATTATGATTTCGCACAAATGTTGAAATGTTTAACCGAGAGACAGGAAATATATCAATAACGATAGAAATTCTACGACAGAAAATTAACTTTCCAAACTTGACTTGAACTCTTTCCTCCGAACTAGCAAGGACATTCGGATCCCCAGTCCATCCGCTTACCTGGTGATGAATTCGATGTTCGTCGACCGCTTCCTTTATGTTGTACTCGGACCAAAGGTTCAACACCATTGCGCCCGCGACTGCAGAGGTGATCTTTGAGCCGCCAGCGGCGCCGATCACCAGGCGGACATTTTTGTTGTGGTCGACCTTCCAGGAATCGAATGAAAAAATATCAGCAATCATCCTATCAGCTTCATGAAGAAAAATGGTACTTACAATTATCGTCGGAGACATAGAGCTCATTGGTCTTTTCCCGGGTCGAATATAATTGGCCGGAGACGGAGGGAGATCGAATCCGTTAGTCATGTTCGGAGAACTAAAGTCATCCATTTCGTCGTTGAATATTATTCCAGTAGACTTCGAACGTAACATGGCGCCAAAGCTGTTTAAACAAACGCGACGCCATTAGGAGCACGATTCTCCGAGTTTCTTCCTACGGATAGGGTGAATCGTAGAAAGATGGTCCGATTTTTGACAAAGAACTACATTATAGATATTACTGATACGTAACAAGAAATCAAATACACCGATGGAAATGAATATACATTTATAAGAATGGTTAAACAGGTTTCCCTGCAAGATCCGGTACACAAATATTTGACAATTTTAATCAGACCGAGCTATCTCAATTGCAGAGCCATCTCACCCGAAATTGCCCTATAGAAATGTAAACCTAGCTGATAGGAACATGCCGAGCAGAGGTCGGGCACAAACGTACACCTGATTGATAGTCGAGGTCACCGAAACGGCAGAACCGTCGGGAGCCAGCACAGACACGTGAGACGTCCCCGAATCCTCCGGCACCATGAAAACACCGTAGTGCCTCGGATCGTTGCTGGTTCGGTCGTCCTTGATCTTCCCCCGAATCTCGTCGGCATACTGGACGGAGTTTAAAGTGTCGACCAGCGAATCTGCGCACGGATTTCATCGAGTTTCATAACGTTTCGTAGAGCGGATCGCGTATCGGCGATAAGCGCATCCAGCAGCTGTAAACCGCGCGGCGGCCGTGAATCGTCGGAATTCTATTACACTCGAACACCGTCTGCGTTTTCCACTTATCGCAACAATTGATTGTCGGCAAACTTGCCGCGTAACAAGCAATCAGAATTTTTCTAGAATCAAGTGTCAAGTACAATCAAGGAGACGCGCGTTCAGCTCGCGACAGGCTTAATCATCGCCGGCGATAATACGGAGCGTGAAACTATGTGTTAAATGGCCGCAACCTCGCGGTCGCCTGGATTCTCACGACAATCGAAATAGATGTTCTATCTTTAACGAGCGGTCTTCGATTTTGTCAGCATCGGGAGACAATTACAACCGCGCGCTTATCAGTTCTGTTTATCTCGCGGTGAGAACAGTGTTATACACTCGAAAGATTACCGAGTTGTCGGTGGATCCGAGGATTACCGGCCACGGTCGTTCACATTTGCGTCGCCATCGGGATCGACGCTCGCGTACGCGTACGCGACGAATATACCTGTACCCGAATCGCAGACTCACCGACACCGTCGACGAAATCTGGATCTCCCAGCTCGGTCCTCCGAGCGTACGCCCATTTCAGCGTCTCCACGAAACGCTGCCACATGATACGCTGATCGTTGACGGGCAGCAAACCGCGCAGAACGTTCATGATGAACGTCAGAATCACTCCTGACCCCGGCGGCGGCGCGCTGATGATCGTCAAATTGCCGATCCTCGATTCGATCGGTTTCTTCCACTTCACCCTGTAATCCCGCAGATCCTGCATCTCGACGATACCCTTCGCCGCCTTGATCTCCTCGACCAGCTTCTCGCCCATGGTGCCGTTGTAAAATATCTGCGGCCCGTGCTTCGCGATCAACCGCAGGGTTTCCGCCAGACGCGGTCGCTTTATCCTGTCGCCCGCCTAACGACAGATCAACGTTGCCATGAGAATTTCGAGCGTTCTGTAATACACGGTATCGTTTGTTCTTTCATAGCAGTCGCAAATATTATTTTAACGCATCCGCGGACAGCGTGAACCTTGTGTGTTCATTTGTATTTTTAATTCGCTTATCATCGTATTAAGATACGTTTAAGACACGGTGCTTCATTAACACCTTTCAGCTACGGGTTTCTCCGCAGCAGCGTACCTCTGTACGGCAAGCTTCAACGCGGACGTTTGACATTCTGTCTGACGGTTATTACCGTGACATTAGAAATATTGTTAGTAAATGTTGCGACACAAATGTCACGTTGACTGACATGGCGGTCACTGGTGAAGCATCGAGATTACTCGAAAGTAATTGTAATTCATAAGACAGCTGACGTCAAACGAAAATATTCAATTAGGTAAATGACTAGATAATATTGCGACGTAAGAATTGTAGCGAATAATTGGGTAATTGTTTCTATTTATCTTCGAAAGTGTAAGCGATATATATGTAAAACACCGATGTTTTTCGTAGCGATTATGTTAAACGCATGTACGACAGAGTGAACCAATTCTGCGACATACCGTTTAAAAGCGTGATATCCATGAAAGACACTATACCAGCGTACAGTAGCTAAAAGGTTAAGTATACCCGAATCCGACGACGAACGGATTGATCTCGTTACGATCGAAGAATACCTGACCTGCGAGAAACAGCTAGCTTTACCTTCCACGGGGAATCGGTGTCCGGATTGATCAGGATCTCCGCCAATGAACTCTCCGCCCTTATCAGCGACTCCTTGCTGACCAAGTACCTGGCCAAGTAGTCATTCACGAAAGAGCCAGTCTCGCATAATGAGATGGTCGGCTCGAACAACTCGGACCACGGCAGCTTCCCGTACCTCTGATGCGCCTCCCAATAGCCTAACAGTTCGCCAGGTACGGCGATTGCCAGTCCACCTTTACGATCGCAGTCATGTCAGAGCGTTGTCCTTAGGACCCCTTCGCTTACTAGAAAAACTCTAACCCGTGCTACTTTCGAAGCTACTCGTGACGTTTTTTCTGACATCAATGTCCTACGAGTAAATTCATTATAGACCAACAGGATTGAATTTACTTTCTATTCTCTTAGACGGTTAACCTTTCCTTTGCTAAGCTGATGTAACTTCCTGGTACCAACGGTACCGAAGAAAGTGTTCTATTTCAGTGCAAATTTACTTTGATAAATTGCTAACGGCGGCATGGATTTTTATTCGATTAATCCAGAAATCCTCGCGAGTCCTGCTCTTAGTACAAGGGGTTAAACGGAATAAAATGGCCGAATTCGACTCTGCGAGTTTCGACTGCAAGTTTCAGTGCTAACTGCAAGCGAAGAGGCTAAGCCTTTATCGGCTGTTTCTATTTTCTCCCCGCGATAACAAGGAAAATTGCGTACCGTACATCGACGCCGAGGAATTCCGCTCGAACATGTTCTCTTTGGCCTTCGCCGGCGCCGTCTCGCGAGCGTCCAGGAATCTCGCGGTCTTGTTGCGCGCGTCCCAAATCGTCATTAAAAATCCACCGCCCAGTCCCATGCTGAGGAACACGACAGAAACTAGTGATCGATTCGAGCTAGACGAGAAAATCCCCGCTTACCTGTGCAACGACGCGACTCCTTCGCACAGGAGCGCAGCTATCGCCGCGTCCACGGCGGACCCATCTCTGAAGAGGACGTTCGCGCCGATCTGCGCGCATTCTTGCCCGTTCGTGGATACCGCAGCCTGCCGAACAGATTCAACTTTCACCCCTCAGCCACCGGATTTGCTTTATCCGTCGAATTTGACGGTTCGACTAGTCGCCTTACCTGTGCGAACGCTCTGAAGTTCTTGCCCGTCTCCGATTCGGAGTTATTAACCAGAAACACGACCAACAGCGCGATGATCACACCCACCAGTATGACAGCGAGCACCCCGCCTATCAGGACCTTCTTCTTCAGGCTGCGTCAGAGAAAAAAAGGCCTTGCATTACCGTCGCGAAAGGAACTATGAGATTCTCCGCGTGCTCTTCGTGCCTCGATGAAAAAAGAAACCGGTCGTTCGCAATTGTTCGAGCTGATAACGAAACGCCGCGCGATAATTTCAAGCGTGTCCTGTCGCGTTCGATGTTGCCAGTCCGAGCGAAGAGGAGATTCGCGAATTTCGCGTTGATTCGATCGGCGGGGAAGCTGATTCTCGGAAAAACGCGTCGATCGGAGCTCTACCTTTCGTTCGATCGATAAGAATTAGATGACAGTATCGTACAAAGATCGTGGGACACGATCAAAGTACGCGCGATCGAACCGTAGCAATACGCCCGGACGAACTTCTCCTCGATTCCTCGTTCACCGGATCGTTAGGGTGCCCGTTTCAATCGGACGACCAAGTATCCGCCGTGTACTCGAGGCGCACGGTGTGCCCCGACAAAGGCGCGCGTCTCGATGATTGATTACTGTCGAAATAGCATTGTTGCGCCACGATAACGCCGCGTATTCGATAATGTTCTACAAATAGGAATCGCCGCGCCGCAGAGATATCCTAGATGTTATTATCACTCGGGAACGATCTAACGACAGTCACTGTGACGCGCGATCGTCTCGTTAGAACGCGGACATTCTCGACCAGCCGGGCAGCCAGGTTTTTCCTCCTCCGAGATCGGCCGTGCAGCAAAACGCGTGTACGAGCTAGGACGAGGTGACACATAGCAATCGAGTCTCGTTGCAATACATCATGCGCGGCGAGTTGTTTGACACCGTCCAAAGGATGCCGAGATAATTCCCTCGCTGTTACACAAGAATCGCGGAACGCGTATCGAATATTTAACAGGTATCGTTGGAATCTACGCGGAGGATCGTGACGATGATTACAGTGTTCTCGTGTTTGGACATGACGAAACGACCGTTGGCCTAAAACGCGAATCGAATGGAAGTGAACGTGTTTGAAAATCCTGGCCGCCCAGTCGCTGCTTTCGCGGTGAACACGCGCGATTCGCACGAAATCGGCCGATTGCCACGAATTTAAAGGATCCAGCGCGATGCTACCCGCGAACCGCGACGGCCGGGCCACCGAAAATCGACGGGCACTGTGCCCGGCCCGCGTGAAAAACTAGAAAACTGTCTCTACAAACCCGATCATGTTGCGCGAGCAAACACCGCACAGGAGAGCGCTCAACCTTGACTAAACGTTTCACCCAGCCGATCGTTGCCTCTTATATGTACTCGTTACAATACAGAATCTATCTATTCATCCCCACTACCACTGTCTTACATTTGATCGTATCAAATGCATCGCGATTTCTTTGATCTCTGTGATAAACCCGACAAAAGTCTCTCGCCTGCCTCGCATTTTCGATTCCGCTAACCGATTTAAACGTCTCGGCACGCGTTACGCCAGTGCGTTATCGCGAAAAGCGCCCGAGCGCGCTCGGCCAACCGATTTCGACGGTGGATTCTAGTTTTTACGGCGCGCTCCACTTTCGGACATAGACGAATGCCTACTCTTATATGGCAATAAACGAATCATGAGTATTATTCGAATATTGCGACTCATTTATCAATAACGAGTGGCAAAGATTAAATAAACGTTTCCGCTAACGTTTCACGAGGATCTCTCGAGTTCGGCTGCTGCCCGGATGCTTCTGGGATAAGTGACTTGCATGTTTCCCGAAACGAAGAAAGCTTCGATTAGAGATAATTGTAAGCTGAGTCATTGTATTTTAGAAAAACTCGTTAAATTCTACGACAGAAATTGAACGGTTCGTACGAGGACGCGTCGCGTTACCCTCTACCGGCGAGACCGAGAGTTAGACCGGGCAGGCAGATGAGTAGCATTCGCTTTGAAAAACGGCGTAGTCATTTTGTGCATTTGAGAAGTCTGCGACAGTTTTGGAAAAGTTCAGACAATGACAACGAGGTACGACAGGGCCATCACGGTGTTTTCGCCGGATGGGCATTTGCTTCAAGTGGAATATGCTCAGGAAGCTGTTAGGAAGGGTTCTACAGCGGTACGTTGACAAATTTCATATAACCTCTCTCGTGTTTGCGGTAAACTTTATTATTCTGTTCTGTGCTCGCCACGTTAAGTACGCGATTATTTTTTTTTCATTGATCTCTTTGGACTATACGGTTGTTTCGTTGATTGTTGAGCCTTTAATTTTATTCATTTTAGGTTGGAGTGCGTGGCAACGACGTTGTCGTTCTAGGCGTTGAGAAGAAGTCCGTTGCAAAACTGCAGGAAGAACGAACTGTTCGTAAAATATGTCTTCTAGACGAACACGTCGTTATGGCATTTGCAGGTTTGATTTTTGACTAGTCTACGGTGTAAAATTGTTAGAGGTTTATCGTGGTTTCATGTGTTACTGTACGATGCTTTTACCTCGTGTAGGGTTGACTGCGGATGCGAGAGTCTTGATAAATCGTGCGCAAGTCCAATGTCAAAGTCATAGACTGACCGTGGAAGATCCTGTTACTTTAGAGTATATAACCAGGTATATAGCAGGTGAGAAAGCATATTTGTGCGCCTTCGGTTAGTTGTATGTTTGATATTTTGATGGATGAACAACAATGTATATTATCCTCAGGTTTAAAACAAAAATATACACAGAGTAATGGTAGAAGACCTTTTGGAATATCGTGTCTTTTAGCTGGATTCGATTATGATGGAGTTCCACATTTATATCAAACAGAACCTTCTGGTATTTACTACGAATGGAAGGTATATCTTACGGAAAATATGTGTGTGTGCTATAAGGATAGTGGAGATAAAATAATTGTTTCTTTGTTTAAATTTAAAGGCAAATGCTACAGGTAGAAATGCCAAAACAGTTCACGAATTTCTACAAAAATATTACACACCGGAAGAGGTGGCATCAGAGAAAGGTTCTATAAAGCTAGCTATTAGAGCATTATTAGAAGTAGTACAATCCGGGCAAAAGAATCTAGAAATTGCTGTAATGCGACGTGGCCAACCTTTACAGGTATGCAATCCATCGTGCGATGATTTAACATTTTACTTATGTGTTTTCAATTTTATATTGTTGCAGATGTTGGATTCTGATACCATTGAACAGTATGTTACGGAAATTGAAAAAGAAAAAGAAGCAGAAGCTGAAAAGAAGAAACAGAAAAAGTGATGTCTCTATACAGAGTTGCACTTTTACCATTCTCTCATTGTTTCGTATAAAATAAATACACGGTGCATAGCTGAAAATTGGAACAAAAATATCAACATTTTTTTTATTTATACTTCATAGTCGTGTTCATAAAAATATGTGTACATTTACGTATATTTTTAAATACATGATTTAAAATTAAAGCTATGTCTACATAGCATTGCAATTTTTTCATGTTTATATATTTGTGACTATAAATAATAATGAATTATGTTTACTAAACACAATTATGTTGAAAATACACGATTTTGGGATTCTTAAGAGGTTTCTTGGTAAATTACAATAATTATGCATTTTTCTGTATAAATTAATTTAACCCAATTATGATCTTTATTGTGCATATTGTGAGGATAAGTATCTTCCGCGATGATTGAACACCTGGAATGATGGGAGATTTCGTAGAGTTTCCCAAGACTTATTTTCTAGGTCAACCACCGCTCGAATCTCTTTGAAGTCGCCGGCAATATACATGACACCGTACATAACCATAAATAAGCTGACAATGCCTTGTATTAATATCTGCGACAAATACACACGAATTGTTACCAATCACAAATCTTATAAATTAAATCTGACAACCGATTAATACTTACGTCGATTGGTAAAGTGGTGAACTCTTGTTCCGTTATTCGTAAGTAAGAACGATCTATGAAAATATTGTAATTAACCTAACACATTGTGAATTTAAATAACTGAAATGTCTAGTACGAAAATGATACATACGTTGTGCAGCTGAATAAGCAGCATGTAATGTTGACACTAAACCTAGGAATGTTATAAATTTATGCACAGTTGTCGCAGGCATCGTAATTATGATGACACCTTATAAATTTCTGGTAAAAACAATCAATCATCTGTTCGATATAACCTGACTAAATACAACGCCATAGCAATACAGTGGCGAACCGTGAAACTAATCTCAAATTCGAGATGCACGAAACCATGCATTTTTCAAAAAATCAATTTGAAATCGTACAATAAAGACTCAAAATTTTAAAAAATAACAGTAATGAAAAGGATGTAATTTCTATATCTTCCTAAATAATTATTTTCTAGAAAAATTACGCTTTCGTTAAAAGACACTATAATTAATAATTGTTATAGCATAATTTCGGTAGATTTCACGAACTTCGCGATACCATCCACCTTTTATATTTACAATTAATATTATAAATATTGTAAAATAAAATAAACTAATTGGTCAGCAGCACAATCCGCGTTAGTTTTGAGGATTTGCTGCAGATGGTGTCACAATCGCTTTTAATCGCATTTACTATCACGTATAAAAACTTAAATATTATTCGTAGGCATCACGGTCAACGATTGTTAATAAATAGTATAGATTCGTAAGAAATCAACAAACGATTCGACACTAATGGCGAAGGTTTTTACATTGTTCAATTGTAAGGACTTTAAAACACGTAATAGGGAAAGTTATTGGCTATCCATGTAGCTGTTGTGTGTGACTGTATAAATGGTAAACAATGCGAAGTAGCCGGAGGTAGTAGACATATCAAATTTGATCGCTCTTTCGCGCGTATCCACGTTAAAGATGTTTGTTTATAGTTGATATTTGTCCGGATAACAATAAACATGATGGATTATGAATTTAAAATGAAAACTCAGAAAGATCGGACGAAAGTCGAAGATCTTTTCGAATTCGAAGGATGTAAAGTCGGACGAGGAACTTACGGGCACGTCTACAAAGCTCGTAGGAAGGAAGGGTTAGTGAGTGTTTCTAACCTATCGCAAAGAACTACATAGCTTTTTATTCCTCTTCCCTGTGTTTTATTTCATTGAATGTTCATTCAATCGAAAATTCACTTTTTATGAATAGTCAGTTAAAGGTTCTGGTAGAATATTTCATGTGACCATTTGTCTTTAAGCATTGGCTTGTTAAATAATGCAGTCTAATATAACACTTTGTTCCTCTGTCTATTTCATTGAAATACCTTTAGTGTGCCAGATAGCGAATTAAAGTCTCGACCAGATACAAAGGATTTTGGTTTAAAACAAATAGAAGGTACAGGGCTCTCAATGTCCGCATGCCGTGAAATTGCTGTGAGTATTTAATGTTCAATGTTTATACATAAGAAATCTGAATGTACCTTGTTTAGAAGTATTGTATTCTTTACTTTAAACAAAATTCTCTTTACAGTTACTTAGGGAACTGAAACATGTTAATGTAATTACCTTAATTAGAGTTTTCTTGTCCCATAATGACCGTAAAGTCTGGTTGTTATTTGATTTTGCAGAGCATGATTTATGGGTAGGTCTATATTTATCAATGTATTATGGTACTTAAATAAATGTGATAAACGAACAGGTATAATTCCATTTCAATTTATAGCATATAATAAAATTTCATAGAGCAGCAAAAGCTAATAAAAAACCTGTTATGGTACCAAAGGGTATGGTAAAATCCTTGCTATATCAAATTCTAGATGGTATTCATTACTTACATTCCAACTGGGTGCTTCATAGGGATTTGGTAATTACTGAATTATACAAGTATTATTCGCAAAAACCTAATGCCGTTCATAATTTACAGAATCATTTGTAATTCTTCAGAAACCAGCAAATATTTTAGTAATGGGAGAAGGTAATGAAAGGGGGCGTGTGAAAATTGCAGACATGGGTTTTGCCAGACTGTTTAACGCTCCTCTGAAACCCTTAGCAGATCTGGATCCTGTTGTAGTAACATTTTGGTATAGAGCTCCGGAATTACTCTTAGGGGCGAGACATTATACGAAAGCTATAGGTATATAATTAATAATAGAACGAAATTATCCAGTCTCCTCTGATTCCTGTTTAAATTTTATTTTTATCTTAGACATTTGGGCTATCGGGTGTATATTCGCGGAACTATTGACGTCGGAACCTATATTTCATTGTAGGCAGGAAGATATTAAAACTAGCAACCCCTACCATCATGATCAATTGGATAGGTACAAGCTGCCCATTATTGTATTAACTAAATGTATGTTTATATATGCAACTTAATTAGAATGTAATATAATGTCGCAATTAATCAACATTTAGGATATTCAACGTGATGGGGTTTCCTCTAGAGAAAGATTGGGAAGATATTAAAAAGATGCCAGAACATCCGACGTTATTGAAGGATTTTAAAAGATCTAAGTGAGTATCGGTTTGAAATTAACAGTCTGTAAAGTTAACTCGAACATGAATGACTTTTGTCTCGCAGTTACGCAAATTGTTCTCTAACAAAGTACATGGATCGGCATAAAATTAAACCGGATAGTAAGGCGTTTAATCTGGTATGATGTAACAAAGTATTCTACATATCGTTGATCGTTTCTTCGAACTTCAAATAAAATTCGCTTTGGTGTGGTTTCAGCTTCAAAAACTGTTAATGATGGACCCCAATAAACGAATCACGTCCGAACATTCTATGCAAGACGCCTACTTCCAGGAGGAACCATTGCCAACGCAGGAGTACGTTTCTGAATCAATGTGGTTCTCAGTTATATTAATCGCTCGTTTATTGGCGTTGACCGTTATTGTATCGTTACAGCATATTCGCCGGATGTCCCATTCCATATCCTAAGAGGGAATTTTTAACGGACGACGACACAGAGGAAAAGACTGAGAATAAAGCTCGACAGAATCAACAACAAACGGTAAGGTTAAGCCGAGTTAACCATTTTCAGACGGTCCCGTTTGTTCCCCTAATGGACACGATGGAATTGTAGCAGCAGAATCAACAACAACAAGGAAACGGTGACCATAACCACGGACAGAACGCGAAACGGGTCAGGTTAAACGGTCCCCACGGAGCTCCGGAATTTCATCAACATCAGAGCCACGCGATGACCCACCAACAACCGCCAGGAATGGTTTACTCCACTGCCCAGCCAACGCAACCGTCGAACTTTCATCAGCGTTTTTAAACGATCCCTTTAACGACAAAGCAAAACGATTCGTCGATTCGCTCGCTCGGATGGTAGTTTGCTAATTTAATCGGCTACTGTATTCAAATAATGAGAAAGTCAACGATTCCTGTATATTCCATTACAGTATAATAGTAAAATTTTATTTATATACACACATTACATTACCCCCCGCTTAATCTTGAATTCGACGACAAGGAAAACGGAGCCAATACCGATTAACGATTACTCCAACAGATTACAAACGGGTGTTACAACTTTCGGATGATTTTCATTTCTAGCGCGCGTTTACCCGAACTAGTCCGCAGGAAAGGTTCGCGAGCCCGAAAGGAAACGAAACGCGGCTGCAAGGATCGGGGAGCGATCGTTAACCGCGACGAGGCGGCCGGACGAAAAGGAACGTGGAATCGGAGGAAAGAATCATCGGAGAAAGAGTGAAAATCAATGTGAAGGGAATGAAAGAGCGAGAGGGGTGGGGGGCGACGGAGAAGGAGAAGGATTATCTCCTTTCCAAAGGAGACAACGAGGAAGGAGAGAAACGACGATTCGGGCGGAGGGGGATTACGCATGCGCCGTAAATCATTTCGTAGCATCGCGGCGGTGTCGCGCGCTCCTGAAACGCGCAGTTTCCGCGAATCGGTGATCAACGAAAAAAGTGTGCGTGCGCGCCGCGCCGCGACGTCGCGTGCTACCTGCCGATCAGGATGTCAATCGAGCAAAGGATCAACCAGTCGGTCAACCAGTTGATCGGATGAGAATAAAAGGTGAGAACGCGTCTGCCTCGATCGACCGATATTCATTCTACACCGGTTCCCCCGCCGTTTTCTTATTCGCGTTCGCTCCCGTGTAACTTTGCGTCGCCAGGTGCCTCGCTCGGGATTCGTAGGATGCGCCGTTCCGTGTTTTCGAAGGTAGCCGTGCGGCGCCTACTCGTTAATGCGCGTCCATTTCGAACGGCGGTTTCGCAACGCGCTCGACGATGAATCGCAATTGCACATGTATAATTGAACAGCGACGTTAATGCATTCCGCTGCAGCCTTTCTGCCGCTTCGCGGATTCGGCTGCGGCTCGACCGGCTTTATTTGTTTAGCCTTCGCTTCGAGGCCTCGCCAGCGAAGATAAGTTTGCCGCGTCGCGGAATCGGACGAGCCGCGGGGCGACGGAGCCTCGAGCGCGTTACATAATTCGAATTCGAACGGTCGGCGTATTCCGATTTCGGAGCGCTTTCGTTTTCGGGGGTCCGCGAGGTCTCTCCCACGGCGAAGGAGAAAAAGAGAATTAGGAGCGGCGCGAACGCGCGAGTGCGCGGACCTGTACGGCCGGAGACGACGTCGAGCCTCATAGATGCAAAAGTAAAAGTAAAGGGGGGACGATCCTGACCACCGTGTCCCGCGACCAGTCGGGGCCATGACCACGTTGCGACAAGGTAACCGCAGTCGCCTTCTATCGTCGCGGAATGATTCAAAATCCTAGCTCGAGCCGTTTAACGTAGAAGCGGGCAGGTGTGTCCGGTGCACGATTAAAAAGCGAGTCTCGTCGGCGCAGGCTCGCGCGTCGGAGCTCTTCCCTGGTCTCGCCTCGAGTACGTGCACCGAACGATCCGGCGGGACGCCGCATGGAAACTGCAAGAGACGACGACGATGCCAACAGGTTCAAGGCGTGTCCTTCCCCTCGTTACGAAAAATCGCCGTGCCGATGGCTCGATGGTGGGATCGCGTTACGCGCGTCACACGGCGAAATAGAAAACATCCGGATGTCCCTGATCGCGACTGCTATACATGGACATTTAGAAACGGGCCTCGCGCGCGCGCGCGATTTTTCCCGAAACGGGTACAATCGCGAAACGATTCCGAAACGGTAGCGGGTCACGCACGTGCGTCCCTGCCGATCCAACCGCGGACGGCGAGTCATTGGGTCGTAGCATAAGCGCACGTTCAGACGTATCCGACGTTTTTCTATTTCCACGAGGCAGCGAGACAACTGAACCTGTCCTCGAGCGGTTACTCACGGTTACGTTCGCCTCCCATAATCGAATCCGTCGAATTACAACATGCGCGTACCCGCGCGGCGTGTCCGTCGATCGGTTTTCCTCGAAACTCGCGCCCTCGACTTTGATCGTCGCGATCTAGGGCCGCGGCGCACGGATCCTCCGGCCGCCCGCGTGCTCTCTTTCCGCGCGGATAGACGCGGGAGGCGATATCGGCGACGGCTGAAACTTCTTTTGTCAGAAGTGAAAGACGTGGGAAGAGAGGAGAGCAGATAGCCGTTGAACAAGCGCGCGTTCGAAAGAGAACGAGAACGAGGGACAGAGAGGAAAGGCGAGGTCAACAAGGTACCCGATATGGTATCCCGTGTCCGCCGTGAGCGTTATTTCATACAGTACGGCACGCCGGTGTAGTACGTGTGCATTTAGGCGCACGTACGGGACACACGCAACGAGCCGTGCGTACGTCGACAATGGCACTCCACTCCTCTACGATTAGCATTCGTCGCGACCGAACTATTAAAATGCGATCGAACGCGCGATCGGACGCGCGGCGCAACGGGATGCGCCGCGATCCGTCGAACTTCGCCCGACGCGTCGGGCGAGAAACGATCGTGCAACGATGGTTCTTTATTCCCCGCGACTCGACCGGAAAGGAAATCGGAGGAACAGAAGGAAGCGAAAAGGCAGCATCGCCCGGAGAACCGTAAGATCTCCCGTGATCATCGGTAGCGCGACTCGCAGCGAATTCGGTAGCTCCGGCAACCGACGTTACCGAAATTTCGACGTCGGTGCCTAAACCTTCCGCTCGATCCACTTTCGAACGACACACCGCTCGGCCGACGTAATCTTTTCCGCCTAGATGCCGACCCACGCCGTAACCGGCGACGATCGCTCGGACTTCGATCCCCGCGGACGAGAAGGTAGGCGATCGCGGTGTCGAAAATCCCCTTTCCGAACCGGGGGCAGAGGCAAGAGCCTGCGAGCCTCGGGGAAGGAAAAAGAAGAAACGAACCAGATCGTTTCTTCGTCGATTTTTTCCTTGTTTCGGTCGCGGCCTTCCTAAGATGGTCAGCGACCGTAAATGTAGACACGCGAGCGCGAACTTCGAGGCCGCCGCCGGGAACGATTGCAGGAAGCTCCGATGGCTTAGTACGGCTGTAGCAAGGCGTACTAGCATGAATCACTTCGTCCAACTTTTATTGGCCGCCGCGATCGGAATTGTACTCGCAAATTCGCCTGGCCGGCACTCGAATCCAGAGTCGAATTCCGTGTTCCCCGTTCCTTCGGTCTACGTCGCGGTACCAGAAATTCGATGCGCGCAGGGGAGCCGCCACGACAGGGGCAAACCGTGTTACCGCCGACACGCGTGGCGCGCAACGTGTGTCCGTCGAATAACAACACTTGACAACGACCTAGTGTCCAGCCGTTCGGCCGCGAACACTGCGATCTCACTCGCAACGAAATAGGAAAGCGCGGTCGTGTCGGTCCGGACGCGCGACAGGCAAATTTCCTTCGGTTTGCCGCGTCGCTTTCGGAGATGAAGTTCTATATTTGAGTGCTACAGTGTCGTACCGTTGGGTGTGCTTACGTTCGAGCAACACGAGACTATTTAACACGTAAGATCCATTGAGAAGTCTTCTTTGCTTTAAGATCATTCCGTATTACACTCGTTCGCTACTGAATGGCACAACGCAACGCGTTAAGTATATGCAACGATTTATCAGCCGATGGTAAGGAAATTGCTTCTTTCAAACTTTACTCTTATTCGCGATGGTTTATCGAGATTTTCATTGACAAAGTCGACGCTGCGAACGATTCGTTTTAGGATCCTCCTAAGCGGAAGCTAAGTCGAACCGCCAGAGGGACCCGCGATTCATCAGGAACGTCTGCATCGTGATCCTTAATATTCGAGAATCTATTTTTAAACGTGACTAGAGGTATGTGCATGCGTACGGTGACGCAATCCTATGGTCTTTCCCCCTCTTCCCCTCCCGTTCTTCCTCTCACGCCCTTTCACTCTTACTATCTTGCGCTTTTTCTCATTTCCAGCTTCCCCTTTCTCTCCTAGCCTCCTCCTCGCCTTTCCTCTCCTCTTTCCCTGATTCCCTTTTCCACGCTTCACGTCGACGCCAATGGCAAGCCTAGCTTCACGTGCTTTCGTATCGAATCTATCCATTTTTCTCAACTAATTGCAAGGATTTCGTGCTCGAGCCGATCTTTCCTTAAACTCAGCCTTTATTCAAGCTAAGCTTCAGTCATACCATTGTTGGAAATATTGACTATAAATATCTTACACTCGGATTACCATTTGCATCGCTATATTTCTATTACAAATCTCGATCTCTATTTTTCCATCTCATTTTCTCTATTATACTTAACCATTGACAATACGGACCATTAAAGGATCGTCGAATACCTTGCCTCTTCGTGACTTAACGATGACATTCGATTATCGCAAAGTATCGTTTGGTTAACATTTTATTCGTATATTCAATTTAAGACTAGAATAAGTATCTTAACACTCGAAATCACCCGATTTCTTTTAGTATCATTGAAAAGGCTCGGATACTTGTTTCAGAAATTATAAACTGTAATACCTAAATTGCCATCTAAGCTAATCGAAATCGAGAACTTCGTCTCTGGCTCTCGCGAAATGTTCAAAGGTCAGTTCGAGTAATCGGTGGTTCCAGTTAATTAGTTGGAATTGTTTCGAATTTCCACGAAACTCGGCGAAAGTCGCGCGGAAAAGCGACAGCGAACGATCGCGTTGCCAACGGAGGGCTAACGCGAGGCTGCAACCGTTCATTCCACGGCTCCGTTCTTTCACAATCGATCAATCACTGTGAAATGAATGGATAAGTAAGCTCCGCCGTTCGAGGATCGACGCCGTACTCTCGCTCTATCCCGACAGGTGTTTTCCGCGCGATCGCGCGTGAATCGGGACGCGGTAAAAATCCGCGATACCATTTTCCTCGGCGGCGCGCTCTTGGGAACGTTTACTCGCGCGGCGAATCGCACGTGGATCGAGCCCGCTACGCGACTCGCGGTCGCTCGCGCGTGACGCGAATCGTCGTGTCATTTATTTTTTTCAACGAGAAGGACTTCTCGCTTGGGACGCGACTCGAAACAAGGCCTCGACGTCCCCCGGAATCGAAGAACATTTCGAGTCCCGAGGATTCGAAATTTTCCGAGTTCCTCGTGGTTCAACGTTGTCGGAACTCGGATAAAAGAGACGTATCAACGGATAATCATTCGCGTTGATGATTGTTGGTAGAATGTTCATAAATAAGTATCCGAATTAGATATTCTTGTGCATCGTTGCGTTTTTCTTTATTTAGTCGACTTCGGCTTTTGAAACTCGACGTTCTATTTATTATATAAATCAAATTAAAAGATTGTATTCGAATTTCGGGAATTTCAAATTTTCATCTGCTAGTAGAATCATTCTTTCGCGGAGGCTTCGCTGGAGAAGATTGAATGGCGATCGGACTTTCATTTGTTCCATTCTTTTCACTCTGTTTCAGACGGGAGACACGACTAACGCAAATGCGGGCAACATGGATTCGCACGTTGGTCTGGACTACATCGTGGACAACCCCGATTACTGCGTAAAACTCGCGTCAGGTAAGCGCTGGTTAAACAGTTGTCGATTTTAATGGAACCTATCGTCGTCCCTTGACTAACTACAAGAATTCTGTGCTCGGGTTTATCTTTCTCTTAACTTCTTACTCTACGATTTACTTCTCCGGTACAACCACTTTGTCGTTAATAGATTAACCCTTTGCACTCGGAAGTTTCTTGACTGACTTGAAGGGAAATCACAAGTACGTTGAGAAACAGAGCTATTTATTCAGATATTTCTCGTATCGAGGCATTATACGAAGTTCAACGTTAAACATCGGATTTTATAGTTTCACTGCGTTAAATCAAATGGTGACTGAGAGTCACCCCGAGTGCAAAGGGTTGAAAGATCTCTTGAGAAAAGAATGATAGTCATATTCTACATCAAGTATAATCGATAACAGAAGAACAACATTCAATTTGAATTGAAAAGGATCGAGCAAACGTCCATGCCAGTCCGATTCCGTTTGGAATCTGACACGTTATTGTCAGGCAACGTGTTGAACTCGGTCCTCAGCTAAGCTTTAGTCACGCCGTTGTTACAGTTTGACAAATACAAATGATCGCTACGTAAATACCCGATCGTTCGATTTCAGCTCTGGACACCGCCTGCCCATCGGTGAAGAAACAAGTGGTGGATCTGCTCTCGGCGCTTTGCGTTTACAGCCAGGATGGAAGGCAGAGGGCCATCGACACCCTTCACGCGTATCAGGTGACGAAGGAATTCTGGACGAACTTATCGAACTTATCGAACGATCCCGGAGTCGCGTTGAATGCCGCGGGGGTCGCCGGTTAACTCGATTAAACGATGGTTATTCGAAAACACTTTTATATTACAAACAATGCTATTTAATTTCGTGACATTCAACTAGATGAATGTGCAATAATAATAATGCAATTCAATCGAATGATTTAATGTCATATTTTTTGCATTTTGTGTAATATTAAATCATTCGATCGAATTGCACTGTCATTATTACACGTACAGCTGGATGTCAGATTAGATAGAATTTTTTATAATACAGAAATATTTTCAAATAATCATTTAATCGAGCAGACTACGGTAACTTGAATTTGGTTGGGTCACCGGCGACGAAGTCAATTGTGACTTCTTAACCCTTTGCACTCGAAAGTTTTTCACTTGAATTATTTAATACTCTTCGATTAGACGTAGACGAGATTCTTTGAAATTAATCGATCAAGAGATACATAAATTAAGGAACAAAGCTTTCTTCCAATATTTCACGTTTCGACAGTACGCGAAGTTCAATGGTGAATGGAAAGGATTATAATTTCACTGCATCAAATCATTTAGGAGTCCTCTCGAGTGCAAAGGGTTAATCTCTTTAAAAAATGAAAAACACATTACTCGAAAGTCGAGCCTCTACTGTATCCATGGAAATGGACACATTTGCTTTAGGATTTGCAACAGAAGTTTCTTCGCAACTTCAACGATTGTGAAACATTTGTTTCAAATACAATTCAATTCAAATCGAATATTCATCAACTAAAAACGTCCGGATAGGTGATTTCAGCTCGTCCGTTAGTTCCAGCGTTAAAGGTCTCGGTTCAAGGCCTTTCTTCGGTAAACAAAAGGACGACCCACGCCTTAATGTCGCCAACGGTTCGAGTAGTAACCGTACGACTCCGAAGCTGCAAAAGTGTGTTCACTTTCCCGCCCGTTACGTAAGACATTATAGGAAGATGGCTTGCGAAAGGGGAAAGTGGAAGCTTCGTTTTATAACGAGCCTACGCAAAATCTCGCGCGCCTTTCTATTCCAAAATCGCGAGAGTTCAAAGATCAACGATGTCCCGATGAAATGCTGGCGATTCTTGGATCTTTTTATACACCGTGCATTCGTCGCGCAGGCGCTCGCTTTCGGTCCCGTCTTATCGGATGTTGAAGTTACCAGCGTAAACGGAATCGGTCGCGGTCGGTCTACAAATTTGCGCAGAGCGGCGCGACGATAACGGGAACGCTCTCCGAATTTTTAACGCTGAACGCATACACGGCGCTTTGTGTACACCTATTTCTACCGCGGTTAACGCTAGGCTTACGGGCATCTGTTGTACACTTGATTCTATTGTTCCTAAAAGAATCGATGCTCGTTTATTTAGATCGCGGAAGCTGGAGATTCGATGGTAGGTAATTGGGGTACATGTCAGTGTGATCGCATCGATCGAAATCATATTTCTAAAATCCAATATTTCGTCAATTTCACGCGTTCCGTAAACCTAGTGTTAATCGAGTTGCTACGAAATAAAGTTAGACGGTCAACTTTTCTCAACGGTATCGACAGCGAAAGGAAAATTGGAGAACCGACTTAAAAAGATAACAGAATCGATGTGAAATTAACCCTTAGCACTACAATCGATTTTGCGACTTATAACACTAACTGCCACGTCACCCGAATATGTGACACCATTTTTAACGTGATCTTGAACATTTATTTTCTTGGTTACATATCGAACGAAGTTTTATTGAATGCGTGAGATATAAGAAAGTAGGAAAATAATCGTTACGAAGAATCTTGCCTCTAGTTGTTGCTTTATTAAGAAAACTGTTTCGATTGTATGGGAGTTTCGATGGTTATTTATTTTGAAATCTGAATCGTTACAGTACCCCAAGTGGAAATTAGAAAATATATCTTAGCTTCCTTCATTTCCTTTGCAGGCTAAGTTACATACGTAACGAACGCCATGAATTTAGATTAGTCTTCTCAACCTTGGTAATCGATATATCTAATTCTTCGCACTCGAGAGGCGAGTCATTCGCCATTCGGTTTCATACAGTACTATAAAATTTCATGTTTAATATTATACTTCGTATAAGGAATATTGAAATAAAGTGATTTCTCTTCGAGTTTCACAGAATTTTACCTCCAGAAACTGTTCAAATGTTTCTACCGAAGAACGTCCGAGTGCAAAGAGTTGATTCAGATTCCAAACGAGAAACAAATAACGCAGACTGTTCAGCTTAAAATTTTCGCCACGAGTCTCGTTAGAAAACGTTCGCGTATTTCTTCGAATTTGGAAACCGTTTGACGCGGTACGTCTAGCGTTAAGGCGGGCCTCGAATAAGACGAGGTGTCGGTTGGAAAGCATCGAATTCGAGGAAACGTTGCAGGAACGCAAGGGCGAGCGATACAGATTGCGGATCGTGGTCGACGAGCTTCGAAAGGCCACCGGAGAGGATTACCGGACGGGGCTGCTGGCTTTCATAAACTGCTTGGTGATCTCCACGCCGGTGCTCAAGGATCGCATACGGATCCGCAACGAGTTTATTGGTTGGTACAGCGACTCTTCTACAAGCCCTTTGCAGGTTGCGATACTGCATTGACATCCGAGTTACTTTTCATTCTCTTTAGCTCCTTGCACTCGAGAATATTTTTCTTAAGAAATATTCATTATTTTCTGATGGAATATCAATGATATGTTTTACAACTGACATAAAGAAACACCTTGCATAAATTAAGTAACAGAACTATTTTATCTCGATGATCCATGCTATTGAATTCTAAATTTTATCATTTTCATGGGTCAAATCGAACGGCGACCGAAAGGCGCCTCTCGAGTGCAAAGGGTTGATCGATACCAATGATTTCTAAAATATCTTCCAGCTACGTTACAAATTTCAATGATAGAATCTACGGTCGTCGCGAGATAAATTTCAATAGTAGAATCCACGATTGCAAGAATGGAGATATCGGGAACTGTTTACCTCCACGTTTCTAATTCTCTTCAGCGACGTATCGCAATGTGCAGAGATTTCTTCTCCGTTACAGAAGACTGTTTCCGATTCGGAATGCTAAGAATCACAGTGGCGCGAGCGACCGAATTTACTCAAGTCACTTAATTACTGAAAGATGGTCAAGTATCCTCTTCGCTAAATACATGCTGCTTAGAGTCTCGTTCCATTAGAGAATACCGTGACCCTTTGCACTCGAGAGGTGGCTCTCACCGCTTGATTTCATACGATGAAACTATCAAATTTGATATTTAATATTACACTCTGTATAATACATCAATCTGAGAAATATCGAAATAAAATAGCTTTGTTTCTCACGTGTGATTTCTCTTCGAGTTAGCAGAACACCGTGTTCGCCTCATCGGAAAATGTTGAAGTATTTCTAATGAAAAAGTTCCGAGTGCAAAGAATGATTTCCGACGATCGACCATATACACTATGATTCCGAGCACACCGTTAGTCTGTGTCGAAAGCGATTCGCGAGCGACCTTCGCTTCGAAGAAGCTCATCACAAGAAGCTGTTACTCTTTCCACTTTCAGGCCTGAAGCTCCTCCCGATCCTGAACGAGCTGCGGTGAGTACTCTTCGACGACCTGGATTCACGGTATTAACTGATTAACACCTTAACATTGTTGAATAATAAATAATAATGAACGTTACGAAAGGGCGCCTTATTGTACCCACACCTTCTCATTTGCACCTAATGCAACGTTAATGTCGCGCATGCATCGGCCGCCGTACGCATCAAGCCAGAGCCATTAAGCAATTATATCAAGGATTGGTTGACTAACGATCGAAGCATTCATTCAGCCTATGCGGAGCGCAGCAATTGCATGCACTAATCCAAAAATAATCATGGTTGCAGCGCGCGATCAGTGTTCGCTCTGTTTTCTTTCCGTGTATCGAGATCTCGGTGGAAACGGCGGTCAACGGTAATTAATCGTTAATCGATGTCGAAACTCCGATGGAACATCGAGGCTGCGGAATCCACTCTACGCGACTATAATAGTTTCTCTGTTACAATCGAACGTGGCCGAACGATCGAAATTCTACGGTTGAACGGAACGAAGCGACATCAAGTAGAACCGCAGCTTTACGTCTTCTTAATGCACACCGGACGTTCAGTAGCCTTTCTTTGCGTTGTTTCCGCTGGCCCGCAGAGAACAATTCCGTTCTCTCTGCAAACGAACGGTAAACGAACCAAGAACAGAATATAATGTAATGGCGATTAAATGTCGAGACCCGTTGGCAAAGCTAGTCGAAGCTAGATCATACTTGCAACATTTCAATTACATTTCGTCTACGATTCTTCGAATTTCAGTTACATTTCGAGTCTCTGAAATTCAAATTATTCGGTGAAATGTTTATTTCGATCCTCGATCTACGGTAGAACCTCTGCTGCACGAAACGGGACTTATACTCGGTCATTCCCTCGCGCCGACGCAACGAACGAGGATTCCCCGCGGCGAACGCGATTCCAATTAGCGGGGTCCTACCGTACATCGCCTCCGTCGTTCCGGTGTTGTATAAACAATGGAGGCGAAGAAGAGGGACGCGAGCCGCGACCGAAAACACGACTGTCGCGACAATTATCCGCGACGAATCACGACGCGTCGGCCGCGCGCGTTCTCGTGCCTTTCCCTTTGGCCTCCGTTTAAATCACTCTCTACAGGAATAGTACGATCTGTCATTCCTCCGCGGGATGACGGCCGTGCAAACTATTCTCGATCGAACAAAACTATTCGAACGACCAGCTTTAAATATCGTCCGGTGGAATTGCCCGTTGAAATTCGCGGTAAAGGGAATCGGCCCGAGCCGTCGACGCAGATTCGATTCAGTTCCGTCGCGGCGACGTCCGATGCCCGCAGGAAGTCGACGGGACGCGAGACAGCAGGATAGGGGATAGGGGAGAAGGGCGTCGAGGCAGCCCGAGGCGAATCGCCTTTTCGCCCTTCGTTCCTTCGAGTTCTCGGATGATCTGTCGGCGGAATTGCGACCGATTGATCGTCGAATCAATGGATATTCGATTAAAATGAACGAACCGTCGAATTAACGGATTTTTAAATTAACGGATGGCCGGATTGAAGGATTATCGAAGTAATGGATCGTCAAGTTGAAGCGTTATCAGATTAGTTGATCGTTAAATTGTAGCGTTAGTAGATTAATGATTGTCAAGCTAATGGATCGGCGAATCGACTAGTTATTGAGTTAATGGACTGCCAAATTAAGGGATTATTAAATTAATGGATCGTGAGATTGAAGTATTGTCAGATTCACGGATCGTTGAATTGTAGCATTGTTAGATTAATGGTTGACGCATTAATGCATCTCCAAATCGACGGATTATCAAATTAACGGATCGCCGAATTAAAGTATTATCAAATCAATGGATCGCCGAATAAAAGGATTATCAAATTAACGGATCGCCGAATTAAAGTATTATCAAATCAAGGGATCGCCGAATTAAAGTATTATCAAATTAACGGATCGCCGAATTAAAGTATTATCAAATCAATGGATCGGCGAATTAAAGTATTATCAAATTAATGGCTCCTGAAATCGAAGAATCGTCAGATTAATGAATTACCAAATTGTTGCATTGTTAGATTAACGGTTGCCGCATTAATGGATCTCCAAATCGACGAATTATCAAATTAACGGATCGCCGAATTAAAGTATTATCAAATCAATGCCTCCAGAAATCGAAGAATCGTCAGATTAATGAATTACCAAATTGCAGCATTGTTAAATCAAACCAACGGATTACCAGATTAAAGCATCGTCAAACGAGCGAACTTTAAAACCGATGAATTACCAATTCAGCGAATCGCGAAACGATCCATCGGCCATCCGAGGGCAAAAACCCGAGAGCGACGATAGCGAACTTCCAGAAAGAACGCGATCGTTGTTCACACGGGCGACCGAGTAACGCGGGAAAATGGAAGAAAAGGAAGCGGCCGGCTCGGACGCTCGAAGGGAGCTTAGAAAATCCCGAATTAACTCATCGCGCGCAGTGCACCTGCAACCGCGACTCGCGCAACGACTCGGATTACGGCTCGCTCGCTCGCTGGAAATGCTGCCGCGGCGTTCCTTCGACAAAGAGGCCGTCCCAGTTAAAGTTTTCCTACCCGTTCGCGTTCACGTTCACCCCTCGGCGCGCCTGAATGGCCCGTTCAGCCCTTGATCGCGACAGCCGGCCAGTTTCGTCGGCGAGAGTCTAAGCGGCGACGATCTCGCGGCCCGCGCCGCGAATCGGCACCGAAAGGTGAAGTCCCATCGGCTCGATTTTCGTTCCTCTCCGTTTCACCTCGTTTCGAAACAATACCGCGACAACTTTCACTGGTCACCGGGCGCGGAATATCAACGGCGCGGGCACGCGGCGACTATTTTCGGCGTTTTGTGCATCGCGGGGACGGGACGGCTTTTAGGCGCAACTGGAGAGGTCGGCGAGCTGGAGCTCGAGCTGCGTTCACGCGTCGACTACTACGAGAATTATCAACGTATTCGTGTAACGATAAACGATCAATGAATTATTAATCGATCGGTTCGCTGATGCAACTCGCGTTGCAGGTATCATCGTCCACTTAAGAAATACTCGCACTCGAGAATCTTCTTGCGGCTGGAGTTGCTTGAATCTCAATATTAAATTCCACGAGTTCAAATAGAATCCGATCTCTGGAAGATCCAGAAATCTACGTGTCCTTTTTAGATAGATCGTTAGTAAACTGTCACGTGTCTAAAAATGTTCCTCTGAAGTTCCATTTTTAAAGGCCACCCGGCTATCGATTCAGCCGGCGACACCTTGGAGCAGCCGAAACTAGAATTTCCTGTTCCGAGAGACATCCCCGACCGTTTGCGAGCGACTCGGAAGCTCCGCGCGTAGTCTCGACGAGCGAATTCTCCGAGAACGATCACGATCGCGCCGACGCCTGACCCAAAGACAAAGAGGCGTCTTCTGATACAATGGCCACCGCGTTACGCGGAGTTTCTCATTTGTAGGCGAGGTACTCGCGCGGGGACGTTAGATTATGAGGGACACGTATGTCACTCTCGCCGTGCAAGAACGACCGGATGACGGGTCGAGTGTTCCAAACGGAAGCGGCG